ATGGGATGTGTCTCCCCTCCCCACCAACGTTTGGGACCGCCTTCCTTCTGGCTGTTGCACGTTCCATAAAGCCGCCAAATTCCTGCAAGTGCCTGCGTGTGTGTGTCATTGAGAGGTGAATGAGTACAAAAGGCTAGAATCCTTTGAACCAAGAGACAGGTATTTTGTTTACAGTAGCCTAAGGAGTGTTTAGGCTTTGCTTTTCCTGCCTCCCTCTATACCTGTCTTTCAGCATGTACGCAAAACACTTGCATTTTTGTAAATGTGCGTACGTTACGCTGTCTGCTTGTGTCGGTTCAACAGAAAGCACTGCTAGGATGTTATATTTGGCTGTTTGTGTGCATGTAGGTTCTGCTCTGCTCAAAAAGACAGTTTGTTAGTGTGTGTGTGAGAGAGAGAGTGGGTAATGGCCAAACCGATATGGGTGTGGGCGCAACACTTATGCGCTATTACCTGTCTGTCTGCTTTCCACGGTCTTGAGACCAGAGTTTCCGCTAGAAAAAAATGGTGCCGGTCAAAGTGACCGGCAGAGGTTTCGTTTAACGGACATTTTGACGATATGCCGGTCAAATATCGCCTCTTAATTAGTCAAGTTGAGGAAAACTGGAGGCAGGCTATGTAACTTAAAAAATGACATAATCAGGCCGTATAGAATGCAACATGTTATTATTAGCCTAACTTTCAAATAGACGGAAAAAAACACGAACGTCCGATTGGCGTCAATCAATACCAATTGTTTTTTTTTACCATGGTTTCACACACATTCACTTTTTTGGCATTGAGGCACGGATGTACCTAATACAAATAAATAAAACATCTCCAGTTAACTATCAGATCATTCATTTAGTTCGCTATTAAATAAGAGATCTAGCGCTAAAATCAGTTGTTTTTGAAATCAAGCTGAGTGCTCGTGTCCACTCCTATCAGTTGCATGGACGACGCGCTGCGCGAGTTGCGCAATCTTCACTCGGGCGCGCGTTTCAATCTATCGCTGTCGTGGAGACTCTACACAGGCGAAGCGCTGCTACTTGGGCGCAGAGATATCACGCAACACCTGAAATAAAGCTTGCCACAAAGAACCGGCGAAAGTAATGATTATGCATGAAACATTTGAATTGTTGATAAATTGATAAAGTTGACGATGCAGACTCGCCATCTTCGCAATAGTGAACGCGCCTAGAGAGAGAAATGCACACTTCATATAAAGTGTGCACGCGCCGGCGCCTCCGTGTCCTGATTATATTGTCCACTATATTTGCTTCTTATTTATTAATCCAGGCAAATTTGTTAATGAAGCATTGATTAAAATGAAGATACAATTTATCTTAGAACTAGTATTGAGATACAGCCTTGGTCAAATGTTTCATATATCTCATTTTCTTGCAAGAAAGAGCACAATTGAGCGGACACAGTTTTTTCTAGTATTTTAGACATAAATGGAAGATTTGAAATGGGTCTGTAATTTGCTAGGTTATTTGGATCTAATTGCGGTTTCTTAATGAGAGGTTGTATTACTGCCAGCTTGAATATTTTTGGAACATGACCTAAAAATAAAGACGAGTTAATAATATTGAGAATAGGCTCTTCCACTACAGGTAACACTTCTTTCAGTAGTTTAGTGGGTATTGGATCTAATAAACATGTTGTTGGTTTAGATGCAATGATAAGTTTATTTAGCTCTTCCTGTCCTATAGTTGTAAAGCGGTGTAGTTGTTCTGGAGGGGCGATAATTGAGGCTGAATCACAAGACACCATAGACGATTGTACATTTACAATTGTGTTTCGGATGTTTTCTATTTTCTCATTGAAGTAATTCATAAAATCATTACAACTATACTGTAACGGAATAATTTGCTCTGGTGATGTCTGTTTATTTGTTAGTCTAGCCACGGTGTTAAATAAAAACCTTGGATTATTTTGGTTATTTTCTATTAGTTTGCGGAGATGCTCAGCCCTGGCTGCTTTTAGAGCTTTTTTATAACGTGACATACTGTCTTTCCACGCGATTCTAAAGACCTCTAAATTAGTTTGTTTCCATTTACGCTCTAAGTTACGAGTTTCTCTCTTGATAACATGTGTAGTACTATTGTACCATGGTGCTTTAGTTTTCTCTCTAACCTTTTTTAATCTAATTGGCGCAACATTATCTAATGTACTAGAGAAAATGGTGCTCAAACTGCTGGTCATTTCCTCTAGTTCATCTGTTTGTTTGGGTTCTCTGAGCAGCTGAGATAGATCAGGTAAGCTATTTGAGAATCTATCTATAGTGGTTGGAAGGATTGTTCTGCCTGGTCTATAACGTGGCGCAACATGATTTGACAAATTTCAGCAGTGCGTAGTATGCAAGTTACCATGTAATGATCAGTGAGATCGTCACTTTGCGCTATAATATCTATATGAATAGTATAATATCTAATCTATATGAATTGAGCAGTTTAGTCCAAATTTTTTGAAGAGACTCAATTGTTTTATATGCTGAACATAGGCTTTTTTTAGGCTTTTATTCACATATAAACATTCATCAACTCAAACATCAGTTGTGGTAAACAGAAGCTCGTTCACTTGATGAGCGAGAACCAATGAGGTTCATTCTCGTGTTGCGCAGCCCTTTTGAGCTTCAGCAAGAACCAATGAGGTTCATTCTCATGTTTTGCAGCACGTTTGAGTCCAAAAACAGTTGAGCTTGTCTTTATGTTCGTACGCTACCCTAAGCCCTCGCGAGTCCACACCTTTGTGATGTAATGCTGCTTTGACTGCTGGGTAGAAGTCTTCAGCGGAGCTCTTCAGGCTTGGCAAATGTGAGCATCTTTCTGAAACCTGGACATTTGGGACAGGGCATTGATCAGCCATTTGAGACAGGGCCTGTCTTTATTCTGGATGTTGCGTGTTTTTGTTAGTTTGTCCACCTTTTGCAATTACTAGTGAACAACTAAAGGGATAGTTCACCCAAAAATGAAAGTTATGTCATCAGTTATGGTAAACAGATTACAGAATTACTAAAAAAAACCCAGACATTTCTCAAAATGTCTTCTTCTATGTTCCACAGAAGAAATGCATACAGGTTTGGAACGACATGAGGGCGAGTAAATGACGACAGAACTTTCGTCCCTTTAACAGATTAGTAAAAAGTTGAATAAATTGTTTGGGTAGATACTTTACTTTAAAGTAAAGTGCAGCAAACGAATTGTTTTCACTGCCGTTTCTTGCAGGTTCAGCTGATATTTCTCCACACTGCTGCCTGTTGTCTGTCGAGAATAGTGCAACCAAGCACCTGATATAAACGCCTCTCAGCGCCTCTGAGGTGCACACGCCGTCTGCCACAGCCAATGACTTCAACAAGACTGAACTTGTGCTCACGCTACACCCCTCATATACTACACCACTGACATTGAATCTTCAGATTAGTGCTTGATCAATGACCAGATCTGAGACTTTTACATTTGGTCTCAATCTCAGTATACAGTATTTGGTTACGGTTTGTTGCTTGATAGCAACTCAAGTAACACTTTCTTAAAGTTACAATAGTAAATAAAATACTTTAATTTTTAAAGTCGATATAGGTTTTATTCAGTAGTCTTTGGTACGGACTTGCCCCTACAATTCACACAGCCTGGGAAACCAAAAGCAAGTTCAGACATTTACACAGGGCAGGGCTTTAGATTGCACCCCCTATATGCACACACACACACACACACACACGCACGCACGCACACACACACACACACATAATGCACTAGTATGCTAAAGAGTGTCATCCAAAGCGTTCATTGAACCCTAACCCACGCTGGGTCAGCACTAGCAGCTGCTGTTCAGGTGCTTAGTCAGCTGAGAGAGACAGGTAGGGTTTGAATGTGTGTGTGTGTTCATGAGACAGCAGGTTTGGAACTAAATTCAACTGAGTTGATGGTAACACCCCATGACCCGAAGTGCATCAATCAGCAGACAGAGGCTCGGCCTTTCTCTCTCTCTCTCTCCGTTCTGATGTTTATGTGCATGCAGCTCTTCACTGGTCTGGGTTGCTGACATGAATTACTGCGCCCGCTGTTGTTGTTAAAAGTTCTCTGGTATTTTCTCACCCATCAGAGAAATTCTTTTGTAGTTGTCTTTTGTTATGCCATGCACAAGCACTTATGAGATTTTCTAAAGTTATACATTTTATTTATTTCATTGTCACTTATCTTACTTTAGATGAATGGATATGTTATCTGTTATCTGAGATACAGGGGCCCCAAAAAGTATTAGAACATTTTTAAATTACACTCAAAATTACAGTAAAATTTAAACATTGAAATGTTGATCAAAGCTGAATTTTCAGCATCATTACTCCAGTCTTCAGTGTCACATGATCCTTCAGAAATCCCTCTATGATGATTTAGTGCTCAAGGAACATTTATCAATGCTGAAAACAGTTGTGGTGCTTCATTTTTCTGTGGAAACAGAGACATTTTCTTTTTTTGGGGGATTCTTTGATGAAAGTTTAAAAGAACACCATTAATTGGAAATAGATGTCTTTGGAAATACATAATCTTTTGTAACATTAGACATTTCTTTAATTTCATTTTTGATCAATTCAAGGCACCTTTTTATATAAATTTGATAGAAATGTAGATTTTAAGATTTTTATTTTAAGTGTGGCCTATGTGTCCATACTTTTTGTCCCATGGTGTGTATGTACTTCAGCCCTGCCCCAAATATTCTGAAACCACCAGCATCCATTGAAACGGTCTGTCTACGGTGTCATTCTACAGTCTGCTTTAGAGGGTGGGAACCATGCTGACCGGATTACCCTGCACCTCACTGAACTCATTGTGTTTCCAGCAGGTCAAATTAGTCTACGCTCAGGCATCTTGTTTTTATCATTATGTTTTGCATTTGAATTAATCTCAGGAATACTTGCAGGACACAGCACTTCCACTACAAATGATGACAAACAATTGAAAAAGTTAGTTCACATCTGACCTGACAAGTCTGACCACTTTCACAAATGCATGTATTTTCAGAGTGTGCCCGTCTGAGTCGGGAAGTGGATGGGCTGCAGGCGGAGCTGAAGAGTCTGCAGGAGGAGGTGCCAGGCTTGAGGTTACACCTGAACACAGCCAGAGAACAGATGCTGCAGTTGGAGAACCAGGTCCAGTCCCACAAACTACTGCAGAACCAAAACCAACAAGCCCAGTCTCTCATACGGGGTGTGTAAACCCACAGTTTAAAGGTGAAGCGTGTCATTTTAGCGCCATTAGTGGGACCAAACAGAATTGCAATTATAATAATACATTTAAAATGCTCGGCAGGTTTCACTTTCATTCTCTGTGTTTTCCTCCATGTTTGTCTGTTTGCCATCCATGGAAATCCATGTACATCTGGTGTGTGTGTTGGACAGGTGTTTTGGGGTTGCAGTCTCACACCATTTCAGTATCCAGACATGCTTATGGTGTGTTTCACTAGCTTTTTCAGTTCTTGTGTGTGTGTTTGAGTGGTGTTGGGTGTGTGTTTGTGTTAGACAGGTGTTTACCCCCCTGCATGTGTCTTTATGGAGCCTCTGAAACTCTCAGTGGTGCAGTTAACACTTTTGAAATGTTTGCCAACGGCTCCTAACCTCCATGAGCGGCAAACACAGCTTAAAGCTTAAAGAAAGAAACATCATAAATGATTAACACATTATTCAGTTGTTTCTCCAAGACAGCAATGAGAAAAATGGAGGCTTTTGTGTAAAGTTAAAGATTTTTCTCCAGAGAAAAAGACTGTAATAATCTCTCTTTCTCTAAAGTTTTGGTATAGATGATACAACACATTATAAAGTTGTTTATAAGGCATTATGCATGAGTTAGAATACCCTTATGATGCAGGCTTCATGGAAAGTGTTACCATCTTGGTAACATTATAAATGTCTTGACTGTCACTTTTGAATCATTTAATGTGTCCTAGCTAAATAAAAGCATTCATTTATTTTCCTAATCAGTCATACTGACCCCAAACTTTTAAATGGTACGCTATATTCCAGGCCAAATTACCCTATCTGAGCTGTGCCATTCACGTTCATTTTCAAGCTCTATACTCATAGGAAAAGAGACACATTTGGCATTCAATATAAGAATTTTAAGAAAACCTCTGAGAAAAAATGAATACCTAAATGAAATGCGGCTAAGGACTCCATTAAGTCTCCTGAACTATGGAAGAGCATAAAAAAGGGTCTTCTGAGAAGTACTTATTACCCTAGAATCATTATTGGAGCAGATCGATTTTTCCTTCCCATGTGAGGCAAAAGAAAGGTAAAAAAAAGGGAGCAAAACAAAGAGTGTATATAAGTATACCTTGATCTCGCCCGGTCATGTTACGGTGACCAGAGAGCAATTATCTGTATGCTTCCCCGCTCCTCGGCTCTCTTTTACCCCATCGAGAAAATGTCACGCTGACACGGGCAACACAGTAGAGAGCACTTTCACCAGAGAAAGCACGACGTCACCTTAACCGGTCCCAGCGCCTCCGAGCCAGCCAGACAGCCAATTCACCAACAAACACAGAACAAAACAGCCCATTTTTCCTCTGAATAAAAGCCCTCTGGATCGAGCGTGTAGTGAATCGACGCCCCCCACCCCCAGCCTTTATGCAGTTCTGGAATATATCCTGTTGTGATTTAGCAGATCACAAACAGTTTGAGAACAGAATGACCGCTTCCTCTGACTGTGGTTTCAGGTGTTTATGGCCTGGCCCTCAGTTCCTTTAGATACAAACACGTTTCCCGTAATTTACTGTGGTTTTACACACCCTTTTCTCTATCTCTCCTTCTGCAGCTGCTGTTTTCACAGGGATGACGCAACAACCTAATTATTGTCTCTTCATTCGCTAAAGACAATGCTGTGGTGCTTTTCCTCGGGAGATGTGCTTCAAAATTAGACCAGCGTCTGCGTCTTACTAATAATTCCTCCCTGGATCTCTGAAGTCTCGCAGCCTCTCTGGGGTATTTCTGTCCTGTGGTTTATGATGCTAATCATTAGGAGAGTAGGAGGAGAGGTCAGAACGACTCGCTCTGGTCGCTGGCAGTGAAGGGCAGCATCTCATCGACTTCATCCATTCAAACACTGCAGGACTCCTGACTGCGGTTGCACGTGTGACTGTTTGTTACATTGACACCTTTGCAAATGTTAATAATTCTTCATGCAAATTGGTTCTTATCTCTTGTGTGTCTTGTCTAATTTGTTTTCTGTTCATCTAGGCACCTGAAAAGAGCCGTTTATCCTTGAATTATTAATAACCTTTGCCAGTCATACAGTATAACCACAACTCTGCATGCAGTTGCAATAAGAAAATCATAGTATACTATAAAATAAATAGTAGATTTGAGACAAAGATTTGTTTCATATGTAATGTATTTGACTTAAATACTATATAGTATATTTGACAAACCATGTAATTATTGTTAGATTTTTTTTTTTTTTTTCACAATCTGTGATGCACTTGAGTTCGTATTGGGTTTATTCTGCCTGTAATCAATTCAGTGCAATTCATTTCAAGTGTGGTTAAAAATGAGTTTAATATAAATGTATTAATTTTATTACAAATATGATTTACTTTAATGGCATTTATTTTAAAGAAAGATAGCATGAGCAAGCAAAAATTTTAAGCAAAACTTGTCGTGATATAATAAATATAAATATTACCACCTTAAATACATATTACCAACAAACTTTCCAGTCATTTTGATCAGGATTTTTAAAAAATTATTTTAATTCTAATTGATTCAATGATCATTCAGGCCATTTTGTGAACCAGTTTGACCAATTTATTGAAAATTAACCACCTCAAAGAAAAGTCACTATGACTCGCAAGCAAGTTTCATATTCCCACCTTTTTTGACCAGTTCATTTCCATGATTTTTGACCTTTCCGGTCATATGGATAAGGATCTTGTTTAAAGTTATTTTAATTCAGATCGATTTCATAATCATTCAGGCCGTTTTGTGAACAATTTTGATAGATTTATTGATAATGAACTCCCTCAAAAGAACAATTCTCTCCCAAATCTAACATCAATAAACCTACAAGCAAGTTTAACTCCACATAAGCTATAATGAACAATTGCTGGTGAAATATGTACAAAACCATATATTAATCACAATGGAAATGTCCATGATTTTTAAGCTCTTTCCAGGTTTCCATGACTCATGGAAGGTTTTTGTCCACGTCATTCTTCATACAGCCACTGAAAATCACCTTGAGACCAGATGGATAAAAGTAATTGCGAACGTGGCATTCATTCTGAGAAAAGCTCTAACATCATTTGTTTGCTGACGCCTCTTGGTTTTGTTATCTTATTAAATGACATACATTTTAAGTGTAGCTTGGCCACTTTAAATACCAATGCTGTCATCAAACAAAACACGTGGAAGATTGGCTTGTCTGGCCATATTTTGTGACTTGGATGTCCTGCGTGTCAGTGACTCCAGTAGCACAACTGTAAATCTGTGGCTAGTCTGACTCCTACGCTTTCCTGTCATCCTTCCTCCCTCTTGTCTTTTAAAATGTCTCCTGTTTCAAACCCTTGGCCGTTTGTCCTCTGTCAGGATAATGGGAGCGGGTCCGACTCCTGAAAGCTGCATCGGATGTCAGCGAGCTGAGATGATGAATGAGAATGCTTTCACTAGCCTGTGTTTGGGTGTAGAGTTCACCCTCAATTATGGCTTCTGGCAAACGATAGGCTCCGGATTATGCTTCAGTGCTTCATGAGAAATACAAAGCAGTGGGAGAGAGAGACAGAGACAGAGAGGAAAAAGAGAATTACATTTATTGGCAGGGGAGGAAGCGGATGAATGAGGAAAGAAAACCAGATGAACATTTATAGCAAGTGACAAAAGACAGTGAGACAAAAATCTGTTTGTAACTTTTGCCAACTGTAGATGTCGAGCCAAGTTGGATTTATTATCGTGAACATTTCTGTGTTACACGAGTTTCCTGAAGCATTCCTAAGTCACCTGATCAACACTGTTAAGCCTCTTAAGGGCACATTGTGTCATGTTATTGATGTTTTACAGGGTACAATCAAGGATTTTTTTTGTTTTTACAGGCCTGGAGGAGGAGGGGAAGACTCTGAAAATAGATCTCCAGAACAGCGTGCATGAAAGAGAGCATGTAAAGAAACTCCTAGAGTAAGTTATTGTTTAATAGTCCACACTTTCAGTGCATATTCAAATTAAAACATGGTAAAGATTTGAGGATAATTACGGTTCGTCCATTATATATATATATATATATATATATAGTTGTTTAATGTTTTTCAAAGAAGTCTCTTTTGCTCACATATTTATTTGACTAAAAATACAGTAAGATTAGTAATATTGTGAAATATTATTACAATTTAAAATATCTGTTTTCTATTTGTATATATTTTAAAATGTAATTTATTCCTGTGATCAAAGCTGAATTTTCAGCATCATTACTCCAGTCTTCAGTGTCACATGATCCTTCAGAAATCACTCTAATATGATGATTTGATCTTTTGTAACATTGTAAATGTCTTTACTGTAACTTTTGATTAATTTAATGCATCCTTTCTGAACAAAAGTATGGATCTCTGAATAAATACATATATATATATATATATATATATATATATATATATAATTGTACTGACCCCAAACTTTTTAAAAATGAACAAATTAGTTTTATTCCGTTATCATATCATTAGTCAGATGATCAAATATGATTAAAGGACCGTTCACACTAAGATCTATAACTATAAAGATAGCTATATTAGCATCACACCGGCGGACGATATCGTTCTGTTTATTCTAAGTGCTGTATTCTGATTGGCTGTCACTGTTTTTAATCATTCATCAGCTTGAAAAAATCGTTCTGAAAGTGATTCCAATGATATTGTTTCTCCGTGCCGTTATTGTTATAGTTGTGGTTATATTTAGACTTTTTTTTTAGAACTATATCTGTATTGTTTTCATTATAGTTATCGTCCTTGGTGTGAACAGACCTTTAATCAACCTGACTTAAACTGTCATATCGGATAGAAAGCATTTCTTAACAAAAAAAAGGACATCTTTATTTTTAGTGGCTGTTTTGGATGTGCAGCACACCTATGATGCCTTAAAATGCGGACTAGGTAGGAAGCTCACTAGGTTTTGTAACACAGCTTTAGGCTGTAACAGTATTCATGATACGCACACACGCATAAGTGCTAATGTTATTTCAGAGGTTGACACACATTAGGTGGAGTACTGTTAACAAGTGTTTCATCCCGATTTACCCAGAATTCAGTGTTCTACTCTTCATCATACACACTACATCCAAACATCTCTGCATGTGCAGCTTCCATCACAGCTCAATATAACAGCATTATCTATAAAACACCCCCTCCTCTCCTCGAGAATGATTTAATGTGTGGGGAAGAGGAAAGAGCAGTATTTTATGAGTTGCTCAGTTGGGTAACAGCCATCCATCTTCCTCCCAGGCTGAGAGAAGCCGTTTTGTATTATATTTGCATACCAATGCACTGGCGTTCACACCAAACAAGAATATTTATTTAACCAAAGAGATGAGGATATCTTCCTTGGAATATGTGATGTATCTCCTCATGAAGGGAGTTTATTTTCTTTATTTGCTGGAGGTGCAGAAGGAGCGAAGACTTGCGAGCTCTGTGACCTGGCAGCTTGCGCTTCACACTATACACACACCTCCCTCGGGTTCATCACGTTACACACACTGACTCAACCTTGGCTCATACTCCTTTTATAATCTATCCCAACTTCTGTTTTTCTGGCTGCTTTTCCCCCTTTGTAAGCGAAGGAGCCTCGCGGTGTGTGTGTGTGTGTGTGTGTGTGTGTGTGTGGATGAGCTGTCAGAACGCTCTGTGGCAGGACAGTGTGTGTGATGTGACAGTGGGAGAGCTGGTGTCGCTGTCAGGGTCGCTCTGGCATTGACAGCTGTGTGTGTGTGTGTTTGTGTGTGTGTGTGCGTGTGTGTGTGGGAAGGGGCTCTTTACGTGCTGGTTCTTCCTGCCGTCTGCACTAATGTAGTTTGGAAGGTTGATACACAGATCTGATGCAGCCACAGCTTTCCATCTTTGAAAAATGAACACTAAAGTTCAAATGTTTTGGGTCAGTGTTTATTTTTTATATTTTTTTACTTTTATTCTGCATGGATGCATTAAATTGATCAGTAAAGACATAACAAAATATTTCTATTTTAAATAAATGCTGTTATTTTGAACTTTCTATTCATCAAATAATCCTTAAAAACAAAAATGAATCAGTTTCCACAAAAATATTAAGCAGAAGAACTGGTTTCAAGATTGATGATAATCAGAATTGTTTCTTGAGCACTAAATCATCATATTAGAATGATTTCTGAAGGCTCATGTGACACTGAAGACTGGAGTAATGATGGTGGTTCAGCTTTGATCACAGGAGTAAATTACAGTTTAACCCTTGTGTGTCCTTAAGGACATTTTTGTCTTTAATTTTTTTGACCATTTTGCTTTAGTTCACCCAAAAATGAAAATTCTGTCATTGTTTACTTCGCCTCAGGTCGTTTCAAACCCGTAAGACTTTCGTTCATCTTTGAAACACAAATGAAGATATTTTAATTAAATCTGAGAGCTTTTTGTTCCTTCATTGACAGCTACACAACGATCACTTTGACCCTTCAAAAAGCAATCATAAAACTAATCCATATTAGCATAACACGAGAATGAACCTCATTGGTTCTCGCATGTCAAGTGAACATGCTTGAGTTTCTGCAATTTTCTGTAAAAATGCATTTTTTAATCCCAGGGCCATTTAACTCTAAAATGATGCAGTCTTTGTTAATAGGCTTTCATTCTTTTGGCAAGGCTTCAAAATTAAAAAGTGTACTTTTTTTTATTTATTTTTATTTTTTACCAGATGGCTCCATTTTCTCAGGTTTGGCGTATAAAGCAAATACTCGCTTTATTCCTGTTTTCTGCTTCTGTTGTGTTATAGAGCCAATTGGGTAAATTATGCAGCTACAATTGTGTGGGTGTGTAGGTATGGATGTCAGAGTGTGGTGTGTGTGTGTGTGTTTGTGCAATGTTTGAGAGAGAGAAATTTAAACTGTATTGCAAACCAGTGAGGCTATGTTGGCATCTAAATTAAAAATTCGATCAAAAAATCTTACTGAAAGCTCTTTTTTTTTTTTTGATATCACAACGCTATCTCACGACCAATTCGTACGAATTCAAAGCTGGCTAATCCGTACGATTTGTCTAAACCCACGTGATGGGTAGGTTTAGGGGCGGGGTCGAATTCATACGAATTTGGTAACTCGTAAAATATGTACGAATTAGCAAAAATCGTACGAATTTGTACGAGTGAGGTTGTATGAATTCGCACAAATTAGACACCTCGTAAAATTCATACGAATTGCCGTGAGATCAGGCTGGATATCAACCTTAAGTTTGGATGCTGCAGTCTTCTGCAGAACATAAAAGGAGAATTATTTTTTCCATAAAATGGAAGTAATTAGGATCCATCGTTATTTTGGACAAATGGACAAAAACAGTTATACAGAAAGAAAGTTATACAGGTATGGAACGATGTGAGGGTGAGTAAATGATGACAGCATTTTCATTTCTGTTTAACCTAATTTAAGTTATTCAAGCAAACAAGCCAAGAATAACACCTGAATTATTCAACCTTCTTAGTAAAGACACTCCAATGGCTTTTTTTTTTTTCAAGAAAGAACTTTAGACCTCATGAATTAGATTGCGTTCGGCAAATGCTGGAACAGAATGACGTGTGTGTGTGTGCGGAAACTTGTGCCAAAGCTTTGATATCTCCATATCAGGGAAGAAAGAGCAGTGTTTGTGTGCAGCATGTGTTCCCATGACAACTATGCAACCTCTAACCCTATTTCACACATATCACACACACACACATCTGCCGAGCTGGTTTGTTTCCCTGGCTACGCTGATACATGTCAGAAATAGTTAGGGGCTATTTAAAATCCTCATGGAGTGACAGACCACCGATGTGATTAACCTGCGGGGAGAGGGAATGGAAAAGAGCAAGACTGAAAGCGATAAACAGGATGAAAACTTTTGTAAATGAGCTGGACCTCCACCCGGTGAGATATGAACAGTATAAGCTAAGAAATGTGAATATGCAAAACATTTCACTGGACCTTCGTAACTGATGAACTGAACTCCCAACTCCGTTACCTGGAGTTTAGATATCAGATCCGTTATATTCACAGTTTTTCAGCAGAAACACATGATACCTGGTCTTGCATGTCTCACAACGCTTCAGTGGTCTGAGTGTAGCGCCTCAGGGATGAAGCGTGTGTGTGTGTGTGTGTGTGGAACATTGTAACGCTTTCTAAGAAATAGACTCTCTCAGATTCCACCTGCATTTGTTACCCATTAATAAACCTCAAAGAGTGCTGTCCAGGCATTATTACAGGAGACAAAGGACGAGCATGATAGGGAGAGAACATGTTATTACACCATTATTCTATTCTTGTATACCTTTTGCCTATATTTTTTCATTTTGTATTTAATTATGTGGACTGGAATGAGCACTCTTGGCAATAAAAACTCATTCTGATTCAACTCAACTGAATAATTTAGGCCCTGTAGTTAATTATTCAAATTAAATGTATTGTAATGTACCAAGTTAGAAGGTTCCATTTATAATTTATAGCATTAGCTAATTTGAGTTTCTTTCATTTGTGAGCAAAATATAACTGAAATATACCCAAAATCATGAATCAGACTAAATCAGTAAATCTGTATCAATTCTCAGCCATTGTTTTGGGTGGTGCCTAGATGTGGCTAGACTCAAGGTTTCTGCTTTTGTTTTGCCTTTTTCCCAGTCCCTCAGGAAGATAATAGCACACCTCTTCTGAACAAGGTGCATCATTTGAGGGATAATTCATATCTTTATTGCTTTGTGCCACAGTTCAGTGCTTATGGTTAGGGGTTTCATCAAATACCTTAAGATTGAGTGTAATGAAGGCTCAGGGAAGATGGAGATGGGAACAAACTTTAATCATAAAATAAACAAACAACAAAACCAAAGTAAAGCGGCAGACCCTCACGGACGACTGCCGCACTAACATAAACACAACACAACTTAGGCCCTGTCCACACCAACAGGCATTTTCAAAACCGCAGCTTTTT